AGCATAAACGTGTTTTATTTATATAGGTAATAATGTTCTTTCGATAGTACTAATTTTGATCATATTGAAATCGAGTCGAATGAAGTATCGCAAGCTAAAGTTCATTGTTAATGTAACTTTGTAACCTATTGGATTAAAAAAACCGAAAACCGGTTTTTGGAAAAACCGGTTTTTTTTGGCCGGTTATAACCGCCAGGTTAAACCGTAAGCAAAAAAAACCGGTTTAACCGAAAACCGGTGTTTTGCCAAAAACCGCCATCCTTAGTCAGAGGTACAAGGTATATTGGCTAGATTAAATTAAATTTTTCAGTCACACTGTCTTTTCGTCGAAGAGCAGCATTTTATATTATTATGTAAAAATCTACTTTAGGTTTTTGCACTAACTTAATATTGTTGATGTTATTACAAAAAATACAAACTAAATTTTCTTCGGTAAGTTTTCATTTAAGAAGAGGTACGGAAAAAGACATTTTAAATCCATTCACAATTTTTTTAATAACACATAAATAATATAATACCCTTTTAATGGGCATTAAACAATAGTCTTCCTAATGATCGTTTAAGTAATAACAAATCAAGTATGAGCGCGCGATTGTTAAACAGGTAAAAACTTGCATTTTTGCGATAGTATATTGTTTTTAAACACCGCGCAATTTAAAATTAAGTTTACTAATATTAATATTTACTGCATTGTATTATCTAAATAATAATTTAAAAATATTATTTACAATTGATATAAATAAATACATACTCAATAAATAATAATTATATTGTTCAAATTTGGAAGAAAAAAAAACTATATACGGTTATTACATTGCGATGATTGATTTATTTAATTAGCCCAATGACAATAATTAATACCTACATAAATAAATTATGGAAAAAACTATGTTTAACAATTAAAAAACAACGGTCTAAATTAAAATAAGCCCCGATTACTCTTCACAATCTTGAAGTTAAATGTATAAACTTTAATTTAGACACTTGGTAACCTCAAAAATAATAATTTACATATGTGTTTTCAAGCCTCAAAAATGCGTATTTTCGCGTTTTTCAGACTTTAAATCGCTTATAACTCGAAAACTATCAACTTTAGAGAAAAATGACAAGAGACCTTTTTTGTTTAAAATGACCCAAGAAACCTAATTTTAAACTAAGAAAAATATTTTTGGAATTTGTTTAAAAAAAATTGTTTAAACAATTTCTGCCCAAAAATTTCGCCCGGCACCTTTCAGATTTGTTTATAGGGGACATTTTTGAACCGGAATCCGCAAAGAAACCGAATCAGAAACATTTTCCCAACGGGAGCGGCCTCACAGCCTGGACTATAAATAATTACCGGTTAAACAACAACAGATAGGCAGATGACACCATCTGTATTGTGGATAATTTAGAAAATCTACAAGTTCTTATAAACAAAATCACATATACAGTCAATAATATGGACTCAATATAACCGTTTATAAGACAAAGCTTATGATAATTAGCAAGAAAAGGATAACACAAGGTCAACTCTTCGTCAACCAATCCCTTGTAGAAAGAGTGACGCACTACAACTACCTCGGCACCATAATAAATGAAGAATGGGCGAACAACCAGGAAATTAGAGCAGGCATCGGAAAAGCTAGATCCACCTGCAATCGAATGGGGGCCTTCTTCAAGAGTCACAACCTCTCTCTTGATTGACAAAAGTAATAATGCTGCGATGCTACGTCTTCTCTGTCTTTTTTTATGGTATTGAATCGTTGACCTTCAACGAAGATATGTGCAGAAAACTGGAAGCATTTGAGATGTGACTATATCGGAGAATGCTTAAGATCCCGTGGACTAACCGAGTCACAAATGAGGAAGTCCTCAGATGAATGAATTATAACCGAGAGGTACTAACTGACCATTATCAAATCTCGAAAGATAAAATTCTTCGGACATATTATCTGAAATGAATCCAGATATACTCTCCTTGAAGTCATCCTGCAAGGAAAAATATTTGGAAAAGGAAGTCCAAGAAGAAGAAGAACATCTTGGTTATAGAACCTCAAAATCTGGTTCAATATAACATCTGTGCAGCTTTTTCGCACTGCTGCAGATAAGATAAAGATTTCTATGATAATCGCCAACTTTCGTAACGGATATGTACATCAAGAAGAAGAATCGATGTTTCTAAGGATTTTTATCTCTTTAAGTGACAGTTTTCTTTTACTTATTTATGGTTGGGTTTGGAAAACTTCTAAGGAGAAAAAACAGGTATCATTATCTCTCCTGTTGCCGATCATAATGTACCTAGCTTCGCCTATTTTTTAAATAATTTTAAACTGTTTGTCCTTGTGTAGTGTAGTGTTATGTACAATTTTATGTTTATGACATTCTGTATTTGGTGGATAGGCCAAAATTGACCCAATTACCCTGAAGATGCTCTAGGAAGCGAAAGTAATTGAGCAAAATTTAATTAATAAAGCTGTACTCGATATCTGCCTTTCATTTGATCAACGTTTATTTATTCGATCATTAAACCTTATACCAATTTATTTACTTTTGTTCTTCACTTCGTATACCACTATATCAGTATGTTCAGATGATGTTGCAGGTTTTATGAGGCTTGTATGGGATCTTCATTTACAGCTAGTATTGCTACGTCGTCAGCAAAGAAAGCGATTGTAGTATTTTTAGTCTCTTGTGTATCGGCTGTATAGAATGAGAAAAGCAGGGGCTTTAGAACACTACCCTGCGGTACCCCGGAGTTGATAGAACAGAGGTTGGATTGTTGGTCTTTGAATTTTATAAAGAAATTTCTATTTGATATTGTAACATTTTTTTATATAATTAAAATATTAATTATTTTTATTCCTTTTACCCATGTGGATGATAAGCCGATGATCGTGTGTACGATTAGGAATGTTTATGACGGAAGAATTTATCTACCACAATAACATGGAATTTCCCTAATTAAGAAAGGTTGTCAATCATTTCCTTCTTAATCCCGAGTATGAAAGGAACTAATGCTTTTCGGTATTCGAGTTCTTTTTCATAAATTGGTAATTTTCGTCGAAGGCACATATAACGTAATATCTTTCGACAATAACATAATCCAAAGGATTGTATATTTAATCTCTTATATATATTTTTACCTTCTCAGAACTCTTTTCTTGGGTAGTTCGTAAAATTTTAGAAAAATCAAGTTACTTCTGGTGGGACAGTCTTTGCATAAGGATTTCTCGTTGGCCGTTGTGGAGTAAGGGTGATTTCTCGTGAGACGCTTTGCTCACGTTATTTGTTATCTTACCGTCTGTGAATTATTTTCTAAGTGTGTATACACTTGTTTATTTGAGTCTTTTCGATCTGATACTATATTAGATTATATATAGTTTTAAAGTACCTTTAATGGTAATTAAATTTAGTGTTTGATACAAGTAAAGTATTAAGTACAGTATTTAACTTCAGTGAATTAGGCAGCAGTCGTGAGGAATTGCTGTAAGTAATCATTATCTTCAAATTATCTGGGCGAGTAATATGGTATGGTATCATATCATCTGCCATTATCTCGACGTATCTTAAGTTCCTCCATGTCTTTACCTGTAGATTGCTGATTTTTGTCTTCAATTTAAAGAACATTTCATTAAATTCAGGAAATTTCAATAAGTAATAAATATGAACGTTTAAGTCTGTTTATCATTAAATAATAGTGCGAAACAAATAATCGGCTTAACCAAGTGCGGTTTGGTTAAAGTTTTATGTCTGTAACCTTTTTGTATTTTTGTAAATTTAACTTTGATTATGTTTTGTGTTGGTTATAACTTTTATTCATTTTTTTTGCTGTAATATCTCGAGATACGCCAAAACTTTATTTGTACACGATTGTATTATATATCTTTATAAGGGTATTTTCTAATTATATTACTGCTTATTTTTGTATGTATACCACCATTTTATAGTTGTTGGTGTACTTTTGTTACTTGTGTTGCATTCAGCAGCGTCATAATTTTGTTGTTGAATATATTGTTAATGTTTTATGTATGTATTTTATTTGTCGGCTCCTAACAAGTTTCCTGATAAAATAGTAACTCTGAATATTTGCTTTTTATCTTTAATTATTATTACGTCTTTAACCAGTCGAAAGATCAGGCTGATTAAGTTTCGTAGGTAAGTAAGTGTAATACTTAATATATTTATTATTTGTTTATATAATGTGTTGACCCAATTTATTTGATAATTAACTGTTGGTATCTTTCCTTGGGTTTGATCTCTGAACCTAAATATCTTGCCTTATCTCTTTTCTTTTCTAAGGTTTCTTAATTTTTTCCTTAACCCCAAAAAATTGAGTGGCGCCCTGTTTCTATCTTATTGTATCTTTGGTAATTTTACCCATCTATCTTTTTGTTTATTTCTGTATCTTTTCTAATATATCTTATCTTGTTCTATCTTTACTTATTTCGTCCGTTGGACCCATTCTGGGTTCCAAAAGCTAGTTTCGAACCCACGACTCGCTCTCCACCAACCATCTGGCTGCCGTCTGCTGTGTCTCCATTGATGACCTTTCTAACACCATCCAAAAATGGTTTCCGAGGTTACAATATGTAGGATTTAAGTAGGAGAAAATAGTTACTATATTTACTTTGTTAAGCAGACCTCTGTCCAGACTTCGTCAAACGTTTTTGAGATGTCTAGAAATACAGCATTGTAGTATTTCTCTTCTTCTAGACTTTTTGATATTTCATTTATCATTCGATGAACTTGTTGGGTAGTGGAGTGATTTTCCCGAAAACCAAACTGATTTTTCGGAAGTAATGTTAGGAATTCATGAACTGTTTATGTATGTATATACCTTTGTAGCAGCAATGTTTCAAAACTTTGCTTACGGTTGGGTCGATAATATGTTACTTCATTGGGTTGTATAAGTAAAACAAAAAATTGATTTATTATATATCATTTTTGCTGTATACAATTTTAGATACACATTAATGAAGTTGATATATATTATTTTAAAAAGAAATCTTTAGAGTTGCTTATTTCTCTTGTTTTCCTATATTCATTGTCTTCAGAAACATGTAGTAGGAAAATACAAGCTTGTAGGACTAAAATTAAACAACAAATTAGATACAAACTTTTTTTTTTCATCTTAAATTCGGTCGCAATTCTCACTCACCTTCAAAGCATTTTCAAAAGTAAAATCAAATAACTTTGCTGCTGTTAAATTCACCGATTTTCTACTGATGTTTGATATCATATTTAACATTGGTTTCTTTAGATTGGTCGAACTTTCATACCAGATAGAAGAAAATGCAGACTTCTCTGTATTCTCAGCCTACAATTAAATTAATATTTTTATTTCACAAACACTCAAATCATAATTTTGAAAATTCACCTCATTGGATAAGAGTTGTCCTGGTATTACATAAAATAATAAATACTCATTTGTCAATCCCATAATTAGCGTAATATGTACGAAAAAATCATCTTCAGGGGGACTAAAATAAAAAATATATAATGTATATATATAACACTATTATAATACTTATTGGTGAGTTTTTATATAATCCCATTATTCACCAACGTCCCAGTAGAAGAATCGTTAGAAATTATACGTAGAAAATATCCAATACCATAATACGCTAAATTACGTATTGTTATTACGTATTATTACGTATATTACGGTGACGAGGCATTGCTTAAACAACACCTATTTTATCTACAAGGACCAGAGATACAAACAAGTCGAAGGAGCATAGATGGGTTCACTACTGTCACCCGTAGTAGCCAACCTTTTTATGCAAGATATGGAGTCTAAAGCAATAGGAGCAGCAGAGCATAAACCCAAACTGTGGCTAAGGTATGTTGACGACACATCTGGACGCATGTAGAAGAGAAACTTACTGAATTCCCACAACACATTAATAATATCCATACAAAAATGCAGTTTACCATGGAAAGGGAGAATAACCAACTACTTCCATTCCTAGATGTGTTAATTATTAAGAGAGAAGACGGAAGCATAGGACATACAATCCTGTTAGGGAAAAAATTAAACATTTATTGTTATCTCATCACAAACAGTTACAAATATAAATGGTAATAACAAAATACAAAAAAAACATTACGGTCTCACCATAATCAGTTACCAAATAGATTATGTAACAATTAATAGAAGGTACAGGAATGCTATTACTAAGGTATCTGCATTATCTGGAGCAGACATAAGATCCGACCGCAATTCCTTAGTAGCAAATATTAAACTGAGGCTACAGCTAAAAGAAAACACCAGAAGGTATCAGTAAACATTAGAAAACTCAAAAACAATGAAACAAGTGAAGCGTACAGAGAAGAAATAAACAACAGGTTCTCTAATATAGCAACCGAGGATGATTTTGAAAACTCATGGACCACCGTAAAAGAATCATTTGATGAGGTGAACAACACTTTTCTACTCGAGTGTAAAACAACTACCAAGAATGAGTGGATGGCAGAAGAAATATTAGAGATGATGGAACAACGCAGGCAGTAACAGTACACAGTAAACAGTCAAATTCGTAAAAAAATTATAGCGGCGAAGGAGATCTGGATGACTACACTTTGCACCGAGGCTGAAAACCTATATAAACTCGGCGAAAGCTTCAATCTTCACAAGAAAATTATTGCTGGAAATTGCTGATATCTGTATCAGTATAAGTATGCTGCAAGAAAAAACAAGTCACTGGTATACATAATGACCAAAATGAACTAATAACGGATACTAGCGATATACTTAATACTTGGAAAATTTACACAACCATTTTGTTCAATGATGACAGAACACAAAAACCACCACACCTGTGAGACCATTTGTATGGCCCAAGTATTTTGAAAGCTGAAATTGTACACGCTATCAAACTGTTAAAAAGTAACAAAACCCCAGGAGCAGATTATATGTACGCAGAAACAATCAAGTTACTTAATGAAGAAAACCTAGACATTATTGTCAAGCTCTTTAATGACATCTACGATACGGGCCAGATTCCAAAAGATTGCCTTTGCTCTACATTTATCGCCCTACCAAAAACACCACGTGCGAACTTCTGCAAGGACCACCGACTAAGCCTAATGAGTGACTTTTTAAAACTTTTCCTGAGAATACTTCACACGAGGTTGTTTAAGAAATGTGAAGAGGTCAGTGGATGGAGTCAGATTGGTTTCAAAAATGGACTTCACATGGCACGAGAGAAGTGATCTTTAGTATATGCAAATATTAATACAGATTTGTTTAGATCAAAGAAAGGATGTTTTTGTTTGTTTCATCGATTATGAGAAATCATTCGATAATGTAAAACACGAATTGATGATAAAATACCTACAAGAGTTGGGATTGGATGCCAAGGATATAAGAAATAATCACCAATCTGTATTGGCACCGTCTACAGAAACAGTACGTCTTTAAAATTTCAATGAAACAGAAGATTTCTCTATTAAAAAAGGAGTTAGGCAAGGTTGTATATTGTCTCCAATGCTGTTCAATTTATACGTAGAAAAAGTCTTCGCAGAAGCAGTGGCCGACTCTAATAAGGGTATTAAAGTTAACGCCATATTTATTAATAACATCAGGTATGCCAATGATACAGCTATAGTGGCAGATAACATCGAAGATCTTCAATGCCTTTTAAATGATCTAACTCTTGCAAGTGAAGCTCGGAGTTTGGAAATAAATATCAAGAAGGCAAAAACAATGATTATAAGTAGAAATTACCCCAACGCAAAGATATATGTGTATGGAGAAGAAATCGAACAGGTCAAGCAATTTAAATACTTGGGTTGTTTGCTGAACGAGGGTTGGGACTCCGAGAATGAAATAAAGAGCATAGTTGAACAAGCCAGAAATGCTTTTTTGAGGCTTCGTAAGTTTCTGACTGATCGCAAATTGGACTTCAACCTCCGATACAAGATGCTTAAGTGTTGCGTGTGGCCTGTTCTCTTGTATGGAATGGAAGCGTGGACGTTAAAGGCCAGTTCCATTAACAAACTTGAAGTGTTTGAAGTGTGGTGTTTGCGTCGATTGCTAAGAATATCATGGACGGACAGGGTCAGAAATGAGGAAGTACTCAGAAAAGCGGGCTTACAGGATAGGGAACTTTCTATTATATAGGAACTATAACAAGTTTTTTTCCACTGTTTTTCAGATATGCTGCTTATTAGCATTTTGTTTTTATCGTTTGTTTTTATGCTTTTTAGGGTCTTCCAGGTTTCAGAGATTTTAGTAGGGTAGACTGGGGCTAGTTGTGCCACTTTGGACAAAATAATTTTTAACATTTTTTTCGTAATTTTTAGGGCTGTTAGATTACTTTAATGAGGTACTATTTTTAATTGGGAATCATTATTTGGGAACATCAGCAATTTTTAAGCAATACCTTACAGTATGTAAATAGTTTTACAAAATGCACATATTGTCACAATTTGCCCCAATATGGGGTAAGTTGTGACGAACTTGGGGCAGGTTGTGACAGTAAATATTTTTAAATATAATAAACTTTAGTTGGAGAATAATAACAAAGTTTCCATAATAAATTTATTTTATAGTTAAGTATAGATACATAAATGTTTGATAAATGTTTATGTAAGAAACAAATGTGTAGAAAAACATCTAGTGAATTTAAAGTAAAATAAAAAACTTAATCGCTATCGTCAATTTGTGCTGATTCTACTTGTAGTTCTGAAGAGTGGCAGTTTATACAAACATAATAAAGATCATCTTTTGTGCACTTTACATGAGCCCACCTCTTGCATTCCATACATTGCACCCAGTCTTCTCCTAACCTAGACTTTTTATATGGTCCCATACAAACTAAGCAAAAGTAATCTTCTTCCTCTTCTTCTGAGCTGTCTTCTCTTTTTCTTGTTGCGGTCTCTTTCTTTGGCGCTGCTTTTTTCTTAGGCAACAGTTGTTTTGAGTCAAATAATTTTTTCTTTATTTTATCCTCTTTGCACTTTATTGTTTCCTTCCTCTTTAACTCTTCACTGCGAATTGTCTCCTTGACAGGTGTGCTAGTCAAAATTGCAGATGTTAAGCTCTTGCGTTTTTTATTTTTTCGAGGACCAGCTTTTGGCAGAGGTCTTATATCCATAGGGCTGACAGGCAAAACTTCGGCATGGAATGATCCTGGTAGGTTGGCCTGCGATGATCCTTGTTGATATGGTCCTGGTTGATAGGTATGGGAGGGTCCTGGCTGGTTAGCATAATATGACGACGGTTCAGGTTCATCGAGATGCTGAAACTCTTTAAGCTGCCCAGCACTGGCTTCCTCATTACCATCTACGATGTCAATAGGCCTATTCAAAGGTCGGTCAGTCACCGAAGAACACAGAAAGTCTTCTTCAATAAAAATGTTTCTATTGAATTCCCATATTCCTGTAGAACGAAATCCTGCCTGAACATTTGTTGGTGTTACAGCTTTAGGTAATGCTGTTTTCACTATACTTGGGATGTCATAAATTGAGACTGTGTTTTCAGGATGAGATTTCATCCATCCACACATGGCGTCGTTTAAAAACTTCTTAAATGGACCAAAAACGGAAACATCCAGTGGTTGAAGTCTATTTGTTGTATGGGGAGGGAATGATAAGAGAGTAATACCGTGCTCTGTACAATAGTCAAGGACTTCGATATATAGGTGAGCACTATGGTTGTTTAACAGAACTAAAACCGGTGATTTCTTTGAGCACCTTACTTTTTTTACAAAATGCTTCATAAAAAACAAAAAGTCCGGGCCTGTTATCCAGCCACTTGGGTTAGCAGTACCACAACAACCTACTGGCCCATCACGTACAAAATGCTCCTTGTAAAACTTACGTGGAAAAACGAACATAGGAGGAACTGAGTTACCCTCTGCGTTAATAGCAAGAACCATAGTAACATTGGTCCCCCTCTCAGCTGAAGTGACACCACCAACTCTTTTCTCGCCTTTCTTCGCTATGATTTTTACCGGTTTTTGGACAGTCCCAGTCCCTGTCTCGTCTATATTCCAAATATCATTAGCTGTAAAATGGTTTTGACTTAATACTAATTCGAGGTTATCAAAAAAGAGTCCGACATTGTGCTTGTTGAAACTTGTACTCCGACTTAAGCTGGTAGCCTCAGGAACACGAATAGACACATTATTGTTACGTTGCATGAACTTTGTAAACCAATCATTACTGGCGTGTTTTGTTGCTACGCAATTCTCAGGCACAAGAACTTTGTTCGCTATAGCAAATTCAAAAGCTAAACTTTTCATTTCTTTTGGGCTAATACCATAAAATATTTTCGCTGCCTGAACAGCATATTCACAGAGCTCTTCTTCT